TGGTAGGGAATATGTCTGAAAAAATTTACCTGGAAAAATTAGTCGATTAAAGTTTCTGAATGTCAATTTCGATTACTTCTCAATTAATCGCCCAGCCCTGTGTCCAACTTTCTTTATCACAATTTCATGTTAATGTCTTCGGTTACACTTTATTTTAAGGTGTCCTTGTAAACACATATAGTTACACTGTAACTATTTATGCAACTACTGAATAATATTTATTAATTACATGTACTTATAGGGTTAGAATGTGGGTTGGGTTTGGCATTAGATATATGTAATTAATTGTACATAATTATTTACTATGGTAAGTACATGGAACATGCACAATAAACACCTTAAAATAAAGTGCTCCATATTTCGCAATTCTTAGATATTCTGATCATTCTAATAAAAATAAGTCTGAAGGTCATTAAAGTCACAATTACCCTTTTATTATTTTCACTTAGACAATATATTTATTCATTTAAGTATTTTTCCTCTCCCAGTTAGCCCTGCAGGGTGGCTGGTCGATCTTCATCTTATATGAGCTGAATACTCCTCTGTGCTGGAGTGAGGTGTTTGTGGGTTATGGCTCGGCTCTTTCCACTGCCATCTATCTGGTGAGTTTTGCTGGTGTGGCGCTGCTGTCCCGATGTCTGCCTGACGCCTACATCATCCTGCTGGGCCTGATGTCTGTGGCAGCCGGCCTCATCATGGCTGCCTTCGCAAAGACCACCCTGCTTATGTTCCTGGGTAAGACCGAGTTTGGAGGTCCTAATGGATGGATGGATGGGTTACTATTTTCAGGTGAAACAATAGTGAATGTTTTATTCATTGCAGTGCGGTTGCCATTGCTGCTGTCCATCATGCCCACTCCTGTCTTACGGTCCATGATGTCCAAAATAGTGTCTGGATCCGAGCAAGGTAAGAATCCCAATGAAATATAATAGAGTTGGTTTTTAAGGCAACACACTGCAGGTGATTTATGGTTTTTAAAAATTGTAAAATTGCAGACATTTATGTATTACAATACTGTATTAATTTGTAAAACAATTAATTTGTATTACAATTACACTTGGGCTTATCTCACCGCCGTCTTTCTGCATTTGATATACCTGCTGTATGTGTTGGGGGTCCTGAAGGAGTCATTGGTTCTTCCGAATTCTGCTGTTTCTACCTCAAGCTCTTCAGCTTCTGAAGCCCCACAAATGATTAAATGCATGACATTTATGTATTACAATACTGTATTAATTAGTTTTACAATATTTTAGAATATTTGTAGAATATTTGCATATTCTGAAATATGCTAATGATGTGTTGTTTAAATAAATATGTCCTAATTAATTTTTATACAGTTGTAGCACAAAAATCTAAATATTGAATGAGGTCAGGTGCAAAGATATTTTTTATTTTCATTTTCTTTGACATATTAGAATCATTTTTTTTATAAAGGGGATTTTGGGTAGCTCTTTATCAAAATGTAAAAACCCAGAATAAAATGTATTCACATTTGTTTTGTAGAATACAATTTAGTATATAATCAGGCAACATTTATGACATTTATGCAACAGTTCTATCTGGTTCCCGAATGTGATTGGCTGATAGCCATGCAATATTCCTGTAATTACAGCACTCGTACAGCCTCCTCACCCTTGTGTATTACTCCGCCCACTTAGAGTGACAGCAGATCAATAAAGTCACTACAGATTGACAAATATTGTAGCTGTTGTACAACATAATGCACTTTTGAAGCTTTTTTAAGCTATAATGTAGTTGTTTAGATTGCGGATATGCAGTTTATTTATAAGGATATTGCCTATTTTAAATATTTATATTTTTAGAGATATGTCAGCATCCATCAGCCTGTCATACTGAGCAGAGCAAAGACGGTTGACATTGTCCATCCACAAGATGGCAACAGAGACCGCATAATAAGGCCTTAGAGGAGAAAAACTCAGCCTAAATTTTAACTACAGCTGATCAATTCATTATTAAACTGGTGAAGGACTTTCTAAGTCGATTTCACTCTTTTGTATGTTGTATTGCTGTATTTATACCATAGTAATTGTAGTGTATCGAGTGTGAGATGGGAATCGCATATCAGGAATGTATGTATTTTGTGAAAGTCACTCTTTGTATTACCCTGAGTTATTTTTTGGTTGGACATCTGTTTGTTTCTAATGAGTCTCCTGTTTTCGTTACTGCAGACTAGTTCAGTAAACAGAAAGAAAGAAGAAATGCCCGCATGTGTTTAGCATTTTTTATTAGCGCAGTTCTGTTTGGTTTTCGTTTTTTTTTGGGGGGGGGGGGGGTAATTATTGTGATCAGCCAATTGCAACAGAGAAATACTGGGAAATCTTTGTAGACATCCCATATGCCGATATACAGCCATATGACACTGCTACTCATGTGATACTGCTCATATCTCTAAAAACATATTAAGAACACAGACATGAGTAAAACTGTAAAGTTGCTGTATGTAAATGTTGCTGTAGTAGAGATTTATGGTGTAAGAGGAGAAAAAAAATCATTTTTAGAGAACAACCTTTTAAAATATGCATTGTAATTAAAATCTACAGACACAAACTGATAAAATAAGAGAAAATAAACATTTGTTTTCTTTAGATTAGACAAAAAGAAATTTGTCATTAAAAAGACAGAATTTGACAGGTACATGACAATAACTGTTTTTGTCAACAGCGTCTCACTTATACTAAATTGAATTAATTTTGTTTTTTATTATTTTGCATAACATTCCTTAGTGTTTCCCAATCCTGTTCCTGAAGGCACACCAACAGTACACATTTTCAACCTCTTCCTAATCAAACACACCTAAATCAACTTATTAGAAAATAAGAAGAGACTCCAAAACCTGAAATAAATGGGTCAGATAAGGGGGACATCAAAAATATGTACTGTCGGTGTTTCTCCAGGAACAAGGTTGGGAAACACTGACCTAACGAACAAAGCAAGCCATTTAAAAAAAGTGCAGCATTCCCAATTCAGATGAATTATTGATGGCTGTGTAAAATTGTTTCTTGTGGCTGTGTGTTTGTGTACAGGTGCCATGTTTGCGTGCGTAGCCTTTGTGGAGATGTTGAGTGTTGGAGTTTCATTTACGGTGTTCAACAGTATCTATGCAGCAACACTCTCCTGGTTTTCTGGGTTCAGTTTCTTGTTGGCTGCAGGACTCACTGTTATTCCATCTGCCCTTATATGGTGAGCATCCCGCATCTGTATTTATTGCTGAACTGGAACCATCTTCATTGTGAAAACCAGTTTTATATAGTATATTAAAAATTGTATTAGACAGCTCTCAGGAATACTTCACTCTGATATTCTAAGGTATGTTATCCCCAGATAAAAATGTATTAAAGTAATAACACAAGTTTAGCTGGGTGCACTGAAAAAATAGAGGTTTTGTCTTGTTTATAGTACAAATATATTTAAAAATTAGTTTTAAGTTTTAATGTGAGTATTAGGTATGTTTTTTCAATAAAACAAGCAAAACAATCTGCCAGTGGGGTAAAGAAAATGCACTTTTTTAGATTCTTTCCCCACAGGTAGATTATTTAGGTTGTTTTAATGATTTTTAATTAAACACTTAATGTTGACACTTATTTTTGCAGTGTACTACACATCATCTTTACCATTGGTCAATATACAGTATATTTGTATACATAAACCCTTAACTGTCACTTTGCTGTTTTGACTGTTTGGCACCTCTAGTGATTGAATAATAAAAAGTAGGTTAGTGTAGGCTGCACCCAGCTGTTTTATTTTAGAGCTAGTAAAGCGTTACTCAATTTCTGTGCAATAAGCAGAACAATGCACAGCCAGTCAGTCTTTATTCTTATACAGTAGCACACTCTTATAGTACTTTAATCTATGAGAACAACCATATGGATGTACATTATCCCTTACATAGCAGCCAGATCCTTTGTTTTTTTTTAGTAATACAGTTCCATATGCCGCTGTTTGTCTGAAAAGAAAAGTAGAAATCTGAATTTTTAAATATTTTTACATAGATCTTGTCATATAATGGCAGGTCATACAGAACATAAAGAAAAGGATGTTAAGTACCTCACTGCATTTCACTGTCACACTCCCCTTTGAAGTGTGACTGATTTCTTTGAAGATGTACAGTCTAGGCCAAAAGGCAATTAATGATGTGAATGTGAACATTTTTATTGCTTGAATGATCTATTGAAGGAAAATAAATCTTTACTTAATTTTGCTGAAAGAGTATCACAGTAAAAAGTGGCAAAGGAATTTATTTTATTCCAATCTCAAATATTTTTGATTCTGTCCATCTATTTAAATGTCTATTTACCCAAAATACTGACTCTTAAAAATGGTCATAAAGAGAGAAATTAAAATCCATATGAACTGAAAATTTCAGGCTTCTGAAAAGACACAGTTGCTGTTTAAGAGTAAGCTGTTAAATTATATAAGCAATTTGAAATGTTTAATACTGTAATTCTCGTCTTTTAGTGTTATACTTTGTCTCCGTCTGGATGTGTATGAGGAATCCATCAAACTGACAGAGAGCATGGAAAACCACACAGAAATCTTGGAGATACCACAATAATATGGACACTAGAAGAACATTTCCTCTAACTTTCTTGCATGACAACAGTGCCCTCTGGTGGGAAGTTAGAAAACTGAGTTCATTGATGATTTACAAAATGCAATTCAAAGGTTCTACTGGCACTTTGAGAATAAAACAAATATCTTTTAACCCTTGTCTTGAGTTTAACAAATCTCCAAGGACCACAAATTTGTCTTTTTTTAGTTACTGAAGAAACTAAACAGCCTCAATTTCCCCAAGGGTGCACAAATTAACAGTAATTTATTTAGTTTGTTTTTGAGTGAACTAACTTAAAATTAGGAACTCTGATCCGAGTGTTAACACTTTTTGTTTTCTTTTTTGGGGCCTACATGAATGCTACTTCACAGTTTGCTAAAGAACAGATTAATAACACTGTCCTTCTTTTTTGTGAAAAAGACCAAAAATATTTTGTACAAAAATGTGTTTATTTTTATTTATCATTTGTTTCATGTAATAGTATGCATGCTTACAAGAGGATATGAAATTTTGCATTTGGATTTTTACGTTACACATTAGTATATTTCTGAATTGTAATATTGGTAATGTATTTTTTAAATAAAGCCATTTGTAAACCTTAAGATTACGCTCTTTCCTTTCATAAACAAGTAAAAAGTCTCCTTCAACATAAAAAAAATGTAAAACATGGCACATTTGTAAGTACATATTACAAGTTGTAAGTAAATGGATAGCATATGTATGTAAAGAATATTCAGCATTTATTTCCTTATGAAGTGGTTCATGATGTCAATGGGCAGTGGGAAGACGATGGTGGAGTTCTTCTCGGCTGCAATGGTGTTGAGGGTTTGGAGGTATCTGAGCTGAAGTGCAGATGGAGACTCTGCGATCACCAGAGATGCCTCCTTTAGAGCCCTGGACGCATTCATTTCTCCCTCCGCTGCAATGACCTGCATCATCACAAACCATTATTGTGTGGCATGAAGACACAGTCAATGTGCATAGATGTCATATGGGCAATTAGAATATAAATGAAAGATGTGTCTTTTTTAATTTAAAATAAGTTATAAAACTTGTAATACTGACCTTTGCTCTGGCCTCACGAGATGCCTCCGCCTCAGCTGCCATTGCTCTCTGCAGCTGCTGTGGCAGTTTAACATCTTTAATCTCCACTCGCTCCACCTTGATGCCCCATGAATCTGTGGCCTCATCTAGAGTTGTCTACAGCAGGAAGGAGTAATATTAAGAAAACTTCAGGTACTTGAAAACAGACCTGCATTTAGATCATGCATGCACAACTCAGGAGACCATTATTTCATTTTCCACACTCACCTGCATACTATGGGAGATGCCTTCTCTGTCAGAAAGGACCTCAGCAAGGTTCTTGGTGCCCAGGACATTTCTCAGGGTGGTCTGGGCCAGTAGTCGGGTTGAGTAATCTGCATTGGAGACATTTGCCACTGAGGCAACAGGGTCATTTACTCTGAAGTACACAACACCATCCACTGAAACTGTCACTGAGTCTTTGGTTAAGATCTAATGGGAAGCAAAAAATGTGGCATTTTAGCATCTAAACATACTGATCATTAAGGTATACAACAGTTGACTGACAATCTGTGCATCTGAGAAAAAGGTTTTTGGTTGCTTTCTATTATGGCATAGAATCATTCACTTAAAGGTTCGTTGAGTTATTGAGGAAAGAACAATAAGTGATTGATTGCATTCACAAATCATATAGGCATCCCTATTTTTGCATACTCTTTTATGAGAGTAGTTGGGCCAAATTTGTACATACTATTTTAGGCTATTTGTACTAGCTTGTAAATAAAGTGGTTATTAAATCCAATGCCTATGCTATTTTTATTAATTTATTTTATTGTTAAACTTCGAGAAATTACTTAATCATAAAGTTCTCACAAATATGGACTTTGGAATGGTATTAGCATACTATTGTTTAGTCATACTTGATATTTTATATGTGCTCTCAAGCAAAGTAATAATTTGTAAGTCCTCACTTCTTTTTCATTTCAGTTTCATTCATTCTTTAGAAACTGAACAGGTGATGACTCTATTGAGTCATTTCACAAAACTTAAATAGCATAGGCTCTCACTATCCTCCATCAAATATACATATAAACAAATAAAGTAACCTAGTAGGCTATAAAATAATCCAAATTCGGCCTTAAATTTCAAATCAAGCGTTTTCCTAAAAAGTGATTCATTGAATCGTTCACGAATACGATTCGTTTGCTAACACTGATTCACTATGTCTGGAAACGTTTTTTTAGCATTTTCCGTTTTAGCCTTGTGCTACTGGTTGGCAAAGCGACACATAGATTTAGTAATCGTCGATTTAGTTTGTTAAAAGTCAGTTTATGAATAAAGCCTCTTGATTATTGCGTATTTGCATTTTACCTCTTGGGGAGGGATGTCAAAAGACACAGTTCTCAGATCCACTTTGATGAAGGAGTCCGTGCAGGGGATAATGAAGAAGATTCCTAAACACAGACAGCAGGTAACATGTTTAATTATAATTGTTAATATTTTAACTGTGCTATACAGATTCGTCATTTTCCTAAACGGACCCCTACAGGAGTTTGAAATTGCAGGCCACATTCTCAAGATCTTTGGCAAATATTGATTTAGACAAAAGCTGGTGTCACTTCTGTATTTGTTTGTTCAGCTTTGGCTTATCGAATGTAAGATCTATGAAAGTCTTGCAGTGTATTTTTGTTTGTTTGTTCAAGTGTTCTTGTTTACCTGGTCCTTTGGCTTTGCGTGCTGTTATGCGGCCCAGCCTAAATATGACAGCACGTTCATACTCTTTCACAATCTATAAAAGAGCAATGAAAACATCAAATGGGTTATAAAACAGTTCAACACCAGATGGTGTAAAATATTCAGGCATGAGATATAACTTTCTATTATTGCAAGACAAAATGAAACAAGAAGGCCTTATAATTATACCCAAATAAATAATAAATAAAAAAATATTGATTTAAGTATATATTTTTAATAAATGTGTTTTATTTTTAAGCAAGTTAGGGGCTGCTGATACTAGATACAAAAGTCATATTAACTAAAAATTAAGTAAAGCTATGAAAAAAACTTAAATAAAAATATTTCTAAAATTTATAATAGTATCACTTATAGTAAAATAGGCCTGGTCTTAGTAAGTTTAATGTTGAATATTTTTCAATATGGTTTTTGTTTTGTTTATTTTATTGTGGCTCATACCTTTATGCTTATGAAAATGCTGATTGGAAATACAAGGATGCTGAAAAATGCTGATATAATAACAAGGATCCACCCACAGCAGCCCAGACTCCCATCATTTTCACCTGTGACCACAGAGAAGAGTGTGATTCTTAAAAGAGCATGCCGTTTAAAAAGAGGACAAAGATGTCTCAAACAACAACTTTTCTTGCTTAACTTTAGGATGACAAAAAAAGAATTGAAGCATGAAGGCCTGTTCCCACAGTTTATATAAGATAGTAAACATAGTTCTAAAAAAGCATAAGTATAAAAGACTAGTAGCAACTATTCAAATATTGTTTTAATACTTTCAGAACTTCTTTTCCCACTGATAAATAATGATAAAAAAAAACATTGACAGGCAATTAGTCAATCTATCTACTCCAGCATTACAAAACTCAAGCGCACTTATTATAGTTAGAGTGATATTTTTAGTTCCTGCAGATGCTAATGTACATATTATAGTTCTTGTTTTTGTAACGAATTGGCCTTAAAATGATAGTTTACTCAAAAATAAAATGTACTTTTTATTTAGCGTCAGTCCATCCAAGGTGTAGGCTAACTAGGCTAACGTTTTCTTCTTCTTTGGAAGAACATTTAAAAAAAAACTCTGGACCACGGTGATTAAAAAAGTGCAAGTTGATGTTTTTAGGGCTCCAAAAAACTACACAGGTAAAACAAAACAAAATAAATATCTGTGACTACTGAAGATTCAATGAGATCTAATGAAACGAAATGATTGCTCTGTGCAAGAAACTGAACACTATTTAAAATATTGTTACCTTTAAATCACATCCTCAGGCAGATAATCTGGATTATTGTCCTGTTTGTTTACATTTGGATGGAAATTTATGAAGGAGTTTGTGGCTGAAGTCAGCACAGGTTCTGATGTTACTCAAGGAAAATTCAATTTCAGGCATGCCTGATTTTATTCTGCTTGAAATGAGTCTATGTACCAGTGTACATGACAATCCTATAATGCTGCCTCATTCAGCTCTTAGCATTGACTAAACCAAGGAAACATTTACAACTTTTGCTGAAAAAATTATGATCATGGTGAGAAGTGTACACTTAAAAAATGACGTTTGCAGTTTGTTCAAACTACTTATTTAAAATAAGTTCAATCCATTTAAATTTGTAAAAACTAAGTTAATTAAGTTTTTTCTTTTCCCAACACAAATCAACCATATTTTAGTGTAAAAAAAGGACAAACACAGAAATCTTAAATGAAATGTAGAGCTGAACAATTAATAAAAAAAGATCACAATCTCGATTTAACCCCCTACACGATCTTAACCCAGCATTTCTACGATTCTGCCAATCATATTTTCAAGTTAAGGAGAGAAGCAAAGGCGGCTGCACGAGTATTTTCATTGTTTCACACTCGTTGCTCAGCAACATGGACACCTCCAAATGATGTTAAAAGAGTCACATTCTGTATTTATAAGGTATAATTCACCCCAAAATGTCATTTTTGTTATTTAAATAATATCGCATTTTAGACTTATGACTGCGACAAGCATTTGATACGTTTTCTTTCATATCGAACACACGGTTGTGCATGAAAATAAATGTTTACAGTGTCAGTATAACTACTCTAGCCTATAAAATGTTGATTTTTACCAGTGAATTAAATAGTCTAATAATGTTCTCAATGAGATTGCAAGCATAGGCCTATATCTCAAACACAATTTAACATCACAATTATTAAAAGTAGAATAGAATTATTTATAGAAACCAGTAGACCTACACATAATATTAATATTGTTGTTTTATCATATGTTTGAGAAAAAACAATAATCTCATATTAAGCTTTATTTTACATCTATAGAAACGTGAGAGAACCGTGATCTTTATTTTAAGCAAAAAAAAATTTCGATTCTCCTTTAGCCAGAATCGTGCAGCTGTAATCAAGTGTTGAAATAAAAAAAGGTTTCAGTGAATTACATAAAAAAAATTAGAAAATGAATGTTTATTTTACAAGCTTAAGACATAAAACAGTTGGTTTCCACATTATCACATGGTGATCTATTCAAACAATTACGTTACATTACAGTGTGATTACATAAACTGTTCTTTAAAAGAACCATTTCCCAAAGAATAGTTTTTATTGAGTTTTTTGCAGAGGCTATGGATTACAGATAATAAGGTCGTAAAAAAAGTAAAATTTCCTGCACAGATTGATCATTTCATAAGATCTCAATGTATTGTTAGGAATCACACAAATAATTTAGTTTGTATGTGTTTTTTGTCTCTCAAAGTGCTGGTTGCATTTTATGCAGTTTATTACAGTTTCAGCTTAAAATTTCAACAACAAAAAATATAGTCATCTGCTTTTTGTATGGCCTGAGGTCGAGTAAACTAATAACAATTATGTATTGTTCTCTTTAACAGTTGTAAAGCTTCAAATTATTGTTTTATGCTAATGATTTTGTTTGAAGAGATTCTAAATTTCCAGAAATGTATACATTATACTGTCAATTATCAATCTGTAAAGCACATCTTATCTTTTCCCCTTAACCCAGAATAGAAGCACTTTGCAATAAAACATTCAATACCACCCCGGTCCTCACCGGATCAATAGTTTTTCAGATAAATTTCATCAGGGAGACCCTTTTTGTCATAAATCAGCTCAAGGTTGTCCTTTATCAGTGGGTGGATAAATACTGGTCCACAGACCCTACCAGTTACAAACCATTTATGTAAGTGGTATGGATAAGGCTACAGTTTTTCCACACACCAAGCGCTTTGCAGTTGGCGAAAGCATCAATACATTAAGTGTAATAAAGCTTTAATTAAATAACATTTTAATTGTAATTTATTTCTTTTTAAATTTTTTTTACAAATAAATATAATTTAATTATAATTAAAATTGTTAAATAATATATATATATATATATATATATATATATATATATATATATATATATATATATATATATTTATTTTTATTTTATTTATTTTTTTAACCACGTTTTACATTCCTTTTTTAGTAGTTTGTATAACAAAAAATGTAATCTTGTCATCACATCATTTGACGACAGATTAAAGAACTCCATTTAAACTTTTGAACTCGTGTGGCCCAAAAATAAGAATAAATTGTCATTTTTAACATTATACTTTGCCTTTATTCGTCATATCATTTGTCAACAAGAAATGTTTAATACATTACATTTTGAATCGATTTTCGTTAAAACTATTTTTTTTATTTAAATTCGAATAAATACAGGTCATATAAGCATATTGTTTAATTTTTTACACACGCGCAGATATATAACACCGAATGACAATGGTACAAAGGCCCTCCTTTACGACCTGTCTGTTATAAAAATTTAGGATAAATATGAACACATGTGTTTAGATCTTTCACAGTTTACTTATCAAGTTCATATGCAGTTCAGTTATTTAATTCATGGTAATGACTCCCTCTGTGATTGCTTATTGTGTAATAGTCAATCGCATTCCAAGCATGTCGTCTTCTCAGAAAAGCATGAAAAAATAACACCCTCTAACAAGTTTTCTATAATCTGCTGTGATGATTGAAATCAATCCCAAAACCACAATGTTGATGTTGAACACAAGTAGTTAAAAACAGGGCACAATTTGCCAACCCAACATCAACATACAGTATTATTACAAAACTCAGTACATGTAATGAAAATATTAAATCAGATCTTTGCTGTACCATCAAGCTGTCATGTTTTAAATATAGCCCTTTCATTTCTCCTCTTTAGCTTCCCTATATTGCAACAGACTATTTGCATGCAACAGCTTTAACTTCATACTTTAAAGCTCACATGTATAGTTTGTTCATGCTGATTTTATCTCACAAGAAATACTAAAACTATCACCAATAGCTTGTTTACACATACAATACAGCCTCTATTTCTTTGTCTTTCCTTGAGTAATTTGTCAAACTACATGGTTAATAACTTGCTTTGCACACCAAACACATTCAACTTGCATAAATAATCTCGGTGATGATGGTTAAAGATCATAAGCTCAAGTTCTATAGTAGTTCTAGTTAAGAGAATTACTATATTATATTCCCAACATATTAAAGTCACAGTTGAGGGACAGAGAGAAAGAGTAAAGTCTTCTTACTAATTAGATTCTGTTTGCTCTGGGGTCCTCGCTCCATTTCAGATTCCATTTCCATGTAGTTGTGTTGCTACGGAAGCTTTGCAGAAGGCACTGTTGGCTTTATGGGTTGCCCAGAGATGTATTTGTACTGTCATAACACTTCCTGAAGGGTGTGTCTTTGTGTACAATGCAATTATAAAAATCATTTACAGAGCCTAATGGTCATATGACTCCCTGCACTGCATAAAATCAATACCAAGCTGATGTCAATGTTAATGAAGCAGTTTGGATGAGTTGATTTCTCAGATGCATCCGCTGTTTTTTTGTTTTTTTTAAAGATTTATTTTTCAGCTATCAAGCCAGTGTGCCTTTGTAAACATTTCCAACTATGTTACTATATATGTTACATATACATATATATATATACATATATATACATATACACACATATATATATATATAAATATATATATATACATATGCATATACATATATATACACATATATATATATACATATACATATATATATACACACATATATATATATATATATACACATATACATATATATATATATACATACATATATATTTATATATATATATATATACACATATACATATATATATATATATACATACATATATATTTATTTATATATATATATATATATATATATATATATATATATATATATATATATATATATATATATATATATATATATATATATATATATATATATATATATATATATATATATATATGTATATATTTGAGTTTTGCATTTATAGATTAAATCGGTACATTACCCCTTCTCTACCATGTCATTGAAAGAGAAGGAAAAAACAAAACAAAAAACGATATATACCTACACATATACACATACATATACACACAAACAAACGTTATAAAAGAAAAAAATATTTATTGCATTGTTTAACTATAAATTAAAACCAATAAAAGATTCAAATGACAAAAAATAAATCTGATGGGTAAATCAGGTAAATAAGTTTTTTTGTTGCATTTATTAATTTATTTATTTTTGTTAGGTTAAATGTAAATTGACCCATTATTATGTAATATTTAATACATTTTTATGACCTATACTGTATCTACTCATGGCACGCATACAGGAACTCCTAAGTCTTGCATAAAGTAAAACAAAGGTCAAGTGGAAACTAGTAATCACAGGAGTCTTATGACTTGTGACGTGGAAACAAATACTATCACGATTTCCCTCCTGTTATGTGATCAAATGCATGGGCTGGATCAATCGATGTCAGAATAATGTGTAATAACTAATTTAGTTTCCTGAACAAGTTCACCAGCAAACTCAATATTCAAGACTTTAACCATCATAAATGTAAAATACATGATATTTGAAGACATGTAAAATATCTGTACAAGAAAGGAACGCATTATATGTCAGCAGGACCAAACTTTGTCTTTTTTTACAAAGTTTACCAAGTTGCTTTTTTTTAGTCATTCTGGAAAGTCCTTTACCGACACGTGACATCCACTGCTAACCACACAATTCAGAGTAAAGGGAAACCACAAAGAAAGTCTAGGGAAAAAAAAGAGTTTTATTTCATTATGATGTTAAAACGCACTAGACTACCATAAACCTACCATATTCTTTTGTACATTTTATAAAATATAATGGAAACAAATGAGAGTACCGCAGACTCTGGGTGCTGGATCTAAACATTGTATACATGCAAAATTCATGGTTCTGACCTTAACCCCTTTAACTGCCTGCTCTACCAAATGGTTGACCATGTTTTGACTGTTTTAAATAATGACTGTTAAATTCATTTAAATAATGGTTTACACTACACAACATTGTTGGTTTACAAAAAAAATCTTACAAACACTACACTTGACATAGGTTTTATTGCATGTTAAATCCTCAAAATATAAAGATGATTTAGTATTCAAAATGTTTTATTTTGATTATGTTTTTAAATAAAGTTATACACTTCATTTTTTTAGATTTTTCACAGTATATGTATTCATTCCGGTACTTTCACCATAAACCAACATATCTACCATTTGGAGGAGGTTGATATTTAAAAAATTATAGGATGTGTTGAATAGTGACATTAGAAGTTAAAAAATGCAATCCAATTTTTTTTTCTTGGTGGGGTAGTAAAAGGGTTAATATCAGCAAAATTGCACAACAGTGTAATATCGGTTACACTAAAGTCACTTTGGAGTTGGCAAAGCAGCTCTATCAGTTCCTATAGAGAAGTTTGCAAGGTAACAGGGAAAAATAAAAACTGGAACAGCTACAGTACAAAGAGCAAACATCTAATTTACCCATTTTCGAAGGGTATGTACAGTATTTGACAGACGTTTAAAGAAAAAGTCAGTTAACTCACTACTTTCATGATTAAAAAAAAAACAGTATAGTAAACTTTGCAGACCCACACTTTCACAGTTCATCTACTGGTGTATGTTAAAAAAATTATTTCAATATTCATTTTTCAACATTGTCATGATGCTTAATGTTAAGATCTAACTACTTCTAAAAACAAAAAACTAAAGAGTATTATTTATTTCATTCATTCAAATACATGTGACAAGCAGTCCAGCCCTCAATAGTCAAATCAAAATGATTTTCTTCTAATTCATAGCACCAAACCACATGTCTGGCGGTTTGAATCTCTTGTAGAGGAAATTGTTTCACACACAAACATCCTTAGGTTGCATTTCTTTCGATATGCAAATTACTGCCAACCCAGTGAAGGGTGCAGGCCTGGTTGTAGTGGGAAGCTTGAGCCAGCTGCTGCTGGGTAGTTTGGGAATCCATTTGGCTGAGCGTAACTGTCCAGTGCTGATGCTGAGTGAGCCTGAAATGACAACCAAAACAAGCATTAGCATTTGAATGGAGTAGTGAAATCATAATAGCATGTGTTCTTTTATTACAGAGCCACAGCCCCAGAGGGATAAATGTAGGGCTGGGACGATTTTGCAAAAAAAAAAAAGTAAATTACCACAATATTATGATTCGTATCATTCAGTATCAATAATTATTGAATATTTTTAACAATCCATTTAGGTATATTATGATTTTTAACCACTTTATTTTAATTTACCAACATTACTAAGGCAAATAGTTTTAATTGTCAAAACCAAAAATATTTAAACAATATCTGATCTCTTTATCATAAAAATAAACATAAGTGTTAAAGAGACTCTTAAACCAGATGAATAAAATGTTACAAAGTGTGTGCAATGGTAAAGTTAGATCAACATCTGTAAGGTGTCAATAATAATGATACAGTAAACCTCAAACTCTGTAAACAAAACAAATTATGGCTAATAAATCTGAGTTTAAGGAAACAACCATCATTATTCAAATTCATACTGCAATATTACAAGTTGTGAAGTTGAATGAATATATTACTCCCTATGCAAAAAAATCCTTCAGATGGGGTGCTAGTGGTTGGGATGCACAAGAAAAGAAACCAAAAAGCTACTCTCTCCTTTTTATTTACAATCTCCTCATTGCTGCTATACAAAACTCATATTTCATAATTAGTTTTTTTTCTGACCTAAAGTGACAAGCGCAAGTAGTTTTCTTTACCATTTTATATGCACTTTGCACAAACACTCCCCTGGCATCTCTCGTAACTAGGTGACCATCAACCATTTTCTCAGAGGATGAAATGCGTTGTGCAAGTTGCTCGCATTCATTGGAAATTACAAACTTGCACCCTAAGCTTTATGGCATTCCTTCCAAGGAGCACGCTCATCAACCACATTTTATTAAAACTATAGCCTTCATACTGAACTTTTTTTTCAAAGTTATTGACAATGGTGATCAGTGAAAAAATACTGATATCGATTTTATTGCCCAGCTCTAGATGAATAGATGGAATTCATTTTTGTCTAATAATAGAGACAATTGTCTGCTACCTGCAAAAGAGCAGACTGCATGGCAGAGTTGTGTAGACCAGAGAGGGCAGCAGGAGACGCAGCGCTGGAGAAGCCGGGCATCCCTGGAGGAAAAGACAGCAATCCTGGGAAACCTGCTCCTCCAGGGGGCTGAAGACTTCCAGTGAGCCTGAGTAACATAATAGAGATGGCTATTAACAGTGTGCAATTCTAATAGTCATAAAAATATAGCATTTGTCAAGCAGCTTCTAGTTTTTCTGTTTCGTTTTTTCTCCAATTTACATTGATTTGAGAAGTGAATATTATTTATAGAATAATAATATTTATATATAATATAAAACACATGTGCGCATCACAGACTCTCTTGGTAAAGAATGCAAAATTTACGGTTCTGACGTTTATATCAGCAAAATTGCACAACAGGCTTTCAGTGAGCCCAAATAACGCATTAAGGAGCAATATGGAAGGCTATTAACAGTGTGCAACTCTAGCTGTTATCTTATGTTAACAAAAAGATAGCATTTGCCAAGGAGCTCATAGTTTCACAACCTGTTACTAAATTCAAAGGGAACTGAGGGATCATACTAGAATCAGTATCTAGACTTATAATAATCAGCAATATGACCATAAAATACTCTTGTAGTTTTAATTTACTTTGACAGTTTTACCATACCTTTGAGGAAGGCACGTCACTCTGATAATATGAAACACTGAAAAGTAGACCTTGGACTTTGCAGAGAGCATAAAAAGGGATAGTTCTCCCAAAACTGACAAGTCTGTCATTATTTACTTAATCTTCAGTTGTGTCAAACCTGTTTAAGTTTTATTTTCCTGTTGATAAATATAATAAAATATTGTAAAAAAAAAAAAGAAAATGTTAAAAACCTGTAACAATTGACTTGCATTAATGAAAAAAAAAATTATAAAAGTCAAAAGTTAGTTTCAAAATATCTATTTGTGTGTTCAACAGGATACTATACTGTATACTACCTTACTGTACAGGGTGACAGATCCTAAACCTATTCTCTGGCTTTCTGATCGCTGCTTACATTGTCATTCTAAAGAATCATTATAACGAAGATGGAACTACAAAACTGACTCTGTGTAATTGTTTCCAATACATTTTTCTATTAACATGCTGCTTAGCTTACAGTGTAATATTCCAATGACCACAAAAAATACTTAACACATGTAGTGGATATAATAGTCCATTTGTGAGTGGACTGAACTGGACAACTACTATCCCGCAGAGTTTAATGGCGAGCGAAAATGAATATAGGAGCAAAGAGTCTAAAATAGGGATGGGCAAACTCCTGCAGAGTTTTGTTCCAGAACAAATCAAGCACACCTGAACAAGCTAATCCCGGTCTTCGTGATCACCAGAAATCATAGGCAATTGTGTTTTATTAGAGTTGAAGCTAAACTCTGCAGGACACCAGCACCCCAAGTTTGCCCAACCCTGATCCAAAGTAAAACTATGATGGAATGGTGTAGTGCAGGGGTGCTAAAACTCGATCCTGGAGGGCCGGTGTCCTGCATAGTTTAGCTCCAACCTTCATCAAAACATCTGCTTGGATGTTTTTTAGAATACCTAGAAAAATCTTTATGAGCTGATTTAGGTGTGTCAACTTGGAGTTGAAACTAAACGCTACAGGACAGGCCCTTTAGGACAAGGTTTGGGTACCCCTGGTATAATCAACCTTCTCTACGCATTACAACCACATTAAACATGCTAAGTAATTAGGCCGAAGAAGAAAAAACATACCCAGGCTGTCCAACCAGAGCAGGGTTGAAGTTAGAGCTAAACGCAGAGGCAAATCCTGGAAGCACAGGAGAAGAGGAAGGGACTCCTGCTGCGGCAGCTGCTGCGACAGCTGCCTGGAGAGGTGCGACAGTGGCCACTGAGGAAGAGGCTCCTGGAATGCCCATTAAAGATGACAGCACTGGACTTCCTGCAGCAGGGGACCCTGAGCCTCCAAATCCTGGGAAGGCAGGGTTTGGTCCAGGAGGAAGACCCGGGAACACAGATGGAGCTGTTGTCAATCCAAGGCCAAAAGGGGTGTGAGAGGGAGCACTAGAGTGAGCCAGGCCAGTATATACAGATGAGACAGGAGGAGTAGGAGTAGAGGGGGTGGAAATGGAAGACTGGGCGCCAGGGAAAGGAGACATTGCTGCAAAATGTGGAGCAGGGCTACTTCCAGACTGAGAGCCTAGAGCTGAGGGCAGGCTATGGAGACCTGCTATGCCAGCAGTGCCAGGTAAATTAGACTGTGGTGAGGGAGAACCATGGGCCATACCAACAGGTCGGGCAAGGACAGCAGAGTTAGGCATTACTAGAGAGCTAAGAGAAGGGGTGCCAGAGCGTGAGGGGCCTTTAAATGCAGAAGGGACAGGACTGTTGCTTCCACTACCTCCGCCATGCCGGGCCATGGAGCTGGTGTGCTGCTCATTAAAATAAGCTCCTGCAGGGCTACCAAGGGCGGCCTGGGAGGTGAGTCCAGGAGAGGGCTTAGGGCTACCAACACCCTGCATGCTGGGAACAGATTGTCCAGGGGCGAGAGCAGACATCCCTGAAGGTGTGTAACTACGAATAACTGAATGTGACTGCGTAGAGGGAGTGCCAGGGTACAAAAGTGCTGACTGGGAGTCAGAGGAAGGTGGGTAGCCCTTTTTTGAGGGTAAACCCATTGCTCCATGAGTATTCATGGAGTCACCAGTTGCCCTGGGAGTAGGTGTGATGCCACCAGAAGGTGTTTCTGAGCGAGGCGCATTGTGGAACGGAGAAGGTGGGATGCCTGTACTTGGCCCAGGTGTACTACATGGTGTTCCAGATGGTGTATGACTTTTGATGACAGAAGGGGTGTTTCTACCAGAAGGGGGCATACTGGGAAATGGAGAGGGAACTGGTGTAGTGTGGCCACTGGAGTTAGAGGCAACTTGGGGAGAGCCAATTGGAGGTCCTTTGATAACTGAGGGAGACGGGGCAGGAGTAGGGGAAGGGGTCACAGGGTTCTGGGATGGGACCATGCCAGGGAAAACTGGAGTGATTGGTGTAGTTGGCTGAGGCTGGGAGGTGACTGGTGTTGATGGAGTGGAGCCACGAGGAGAGATAGCAGGTGTGCCAGAGATGTTGGCTGTTGGGTTTTGACTGGCAGGTCGGCTGTAACCTAAAAATAAAATAAAAACAGTCAGTCCTATCAAATAAAGACACAGAATCACATGCATCTAAGTTCATTAGTGCTGCAGTTAGATGATAGATTAGAAAGCAAATTCTCCCAATCCACAAGCTGAGCCATAGTATCATAATGCAGCAGAGCAAGCATTCATGCTTTAACTTAGTGCTTTCCCTTCTTGCCTCTAGAAGACCAACATCCTGGAGAGTTTAAACCAGCTGCAACACACTTTTCGGAAGTTTCTAGAGTCTTATAACCTTGATTAATATAGAAAGTGTATAATTAATGTTGGAGCTAAGCTCTGCAGGACAGTGGGCTTACAACAACAGATTGTCACCGCTGGTTTAAAACTGACTATTCAACACAATTCCACCCTTGTGATTAAATGAAGTAAAAATGTTGAAAACATGTATTGAAACTTACAACTGCAAGTCCATTAAGACACTTTTAAAAATTCTGAAAAATTTTTTCACACTTACATATTTTAGAAAATCTGAAATACTTAGAAAGAATGTAATTCTACAATTTTTGCTCTCTATGAATCACAGCAAGCAGAAATAACCATATTAGCTCTGTTAGTTCAGTAAGGAAAACCTATGAAGAGTTTTAAGCATGATCATAATGCATGGTATAGATGCTGCAGGCAGATTTAGAGCATGCCGTGGTGAGGTAGCATCTACAGACAGCATAGTCATCAACAACTGTTAAAGGCAGCAAACAGCGCTAGCGACAGCAACTGCATGTTGTACCTGCCAAATTGGGAGTGGCTCGGTAGGGTGGGGGTGGCACACTGGCAGTGATGACCCCACCCACTGACACCAGACCTGCGTTGTTGTATGCACCTAATCAGCATCCGGAGAAGAGGGTAAGAACATTCTCCCTCAATTTACTTTGAAATTGAACATAGACTCATTGCTGGAATATACATGGTAACAATTTATCAACACATTTTTTTCTGCACATTAGGACGGTCAAACTACTCTTCTTATTTTCTTATCTGAAGAAAATGGGTCTTACTTGGAGCGATGGTTGCATGGGGGCGGCATGGCGGGATCGGGTATGGCACAGGTCTGTGTGGATTATATGATGAGGGGGACTGTATATAAAATAAGAGAATTATGTGTGTTGTTAAATGGCATTAAAAAACCTGTTAAATTCATTCATTTTAGTTGGTCAAAAAGAAAAAAAGAAAAAAACACACCGGTTTGCTTGATCCTCCAATGATGCGTAAAGCAATACCCTTTCCATCGAGGTTTACATCCTCTCCCTCCTTTTTGGCAGGAATTCCCTTAAAAGTCCCAATAAAATCCACAATGAATTCAAAAGATTTACATCTGGCAATATGTTTTTAAACATTTATATAGTAAATCAGCTCACAGGGAATGTTCCTGTAACCTGGCTGGGTTTGCCCTTAGGATAAGGGTTCCCTGGGATCATCCCGCAGGATGAAATCATTGCAACTGGAGCTTTACATCCCACCTTACACACCTAAAAATATTATTAAGATGTACATTTAAATATATAAATCAACATGTACTGTCTATACTTGAAATAGCTCATTAATTCTGTGTCATTCTAAACCCTGAAGTAAATCAACCCTGGGTTATTACATTTACACTGTTTATAACTTGTCAAAGTTGCAGTATGTGAGTTTGGCACCCAGTGGTTGAACTAGGTATTGCATTCCTGAATCAAAACACACGCAAGCGCAGGTTGCCAGATTAAGGACCAACAGGACTGACTATCGAACTTAAAGGCTGATTTAAGGCCAACTTAAAGCAAGTCCTAAATACAAGCAATGGCACGTGATAGAAGGAATATTTTCATATTAAAAGGAGTTTTTGTTCTAACCAATACCTGGAATTTATATTTTAGAAACGGTTTATTATTTCTTGCAGCTGAACAACAGAAAACAATGACAATGATCACCTCAGGTACACCTCATGTGCTTTATTCAGTGTTAAATGCTAACAATGTGAGTTTGAATGCCATTTTACATGACATGTATTGCCATGCTACTGAAAGCAGCAGCAGATAGTTCACCTCAGATCTTAAATAAGCTAAATGAAATTAAACTTTAGACCTGTGAAATAATGCAAATAAACACATATGAGTGATTCAGCATCTACATTTAATAATGTTAAAGAGGTTATATATGTATTAATTAGATCATAAAGTTTACCATTTTGTGAGTGAGTGCATATTCTGTGCTTCTGAATGGCTGTATCTAAGGGTGCTTTCACATCTGTAGTTCGCTTCATTTGGTCCGGACCAAGGGTAATAAATGATACATTGTTGCATCTTCTGCCGTCTTTGGGTCGTTTTCACACCACACTGCTGGCTTTGGTCCGAACCAGTTGAAACAAACCAAAATGCAGTCATCTGACAAAATCCACATCTCTCATTGGCCAGATGTTGTTGAACATATTTCCTAAACTGCCTATTGATTGGTCAGAATTCACGAGCGGTAAAATGCCAGTGAACTCCCGCAGGTAAACAAAACCTTTTACTCCGGAGGGATGACTGCGGTGACTTACTGAATCCCTGTGTAGTGTGTTGTTGGGACACGGGGATAGAAGCTCACCTAATGCTTATGTTTGTAATATTTATATTATTTGCTAATTAATATCCGTCATGTAGAACTGAGGTCACATTTCACGGGTGCATGCTTTGATGCAACCTAGGGCAAATTGTACCCATTGCAGAGCCACTTGGGCAGAGCTGAGCTTCAACAAGGGGGACCTTAAGCTCCAGCTCCTCCTTTCTTGAACTTCAGGTTAAATGAACCAAAACAAAAACAGGCGTTCCAACACGTAACACACATTTTCAAAGCAGAATATCTGACTAGCATTGTTTTTCAGATAAATAAGTATGTCGCTTAGCATGTTTCTTAAATATTTGCTAACATTTTGTGGTGTTTTTATTTTTTAGAAGAGTCAACAACTCACATACAGCAAATTTAACAATTTACCCTGAGATATTCATGCTTGTGTGTTTCACACTGTACAACCCTAAACCTTTTGTTAATAATACTTAGTATTAATACTAAATAATAATTAGTCATATTTGCTACTATATGCTGCAAACTTTCACTGGAATTGACATTTTTTTCTCACCGTTTACTCTGTCCTTCAGACACTGAAATGACTTTATACAACACACTGCAAATATTTTCACCTTTAAGGTAAGGCTTAACTCCACAATAGCATCAGGGCAGGGTTTCATAAAACAAGGTTAAAACTGTGTTCAGAATAACAATAACCCAGGGTTAAGCCCAGCGTGAATGGCCCTTTTCATTCAATATAGTCAGGAATTTGCTCAGTTTTTAAATCCCCAATGAACAACAAAGTTTCACCTGTTCTAGGATTCTTCTTGCACGTTTCTTCTCAGAGAGATGAATACGGAATGCATCTTCCACAGGACGGTAGTTTTGGGCATCAGAAATATTTCTGTATATTATAAATAGCAGGATTATGTTTAACCTGTTGAATATTTCCTGATGTGTAGAGTGCATATGCAATAGAGCATGACTTACAAAGCTATGAGTTCCAATACTATAATTCTGTCCTTTGAAAATGTGAAGCAATTAAGGATGTTTGCAACCTTTGTCGTTGGAATTGCAACCATTTTCTGCAAGAAAAAAATTTCATGCAAGTAAGATATGTTTCTTATCTCATCTAACAAGATTGGGAATGAAAGTAACAAAAAACGAGCAGAATTCTTACATGTTGCAAGGCTTTGACTGCTTTTATTTGGGGCTCTGCCCAGGAGAAGTACTTCAAAATGTCTATGACCTGAAGAAGCACATTAAATGGGTAAACACATGCAAAACACTGCAGAATTAGTTACACAATTTCAACACACCTGTTCACTGGAGAAATACCCATGAACCTGCTCGATAGCTTTAATCCGTTGATCTGTCAAAACACACTTAAACACAAAGAACAATATAGCATTATCCTCTTACCTTGAACACAAATTCAATAATATTGTCTGATCACCACTGCCTCCTTCCAGAACACATCGACATGTATATATTCTTTATTTCTCACATTTATGTAAACATGCATACCTACACAACACAAAATATAATGCAAATATATTTACCTTTCTGATTTCGTCCAAGACGATGTCAAATGATTTTTTGTCCATCTTCTCTGCCGATGCACTGATCTCTGTATTGATTGCTAATCTATCCTACAGCATTTCAAAGACTAACCTTCATTCACCTGCTGGAGGGAAACTAATTATAACTGTTAGAATGATTCACAGCACCGAGGTTTAAATTCAGATTTTTTTAGCATATAGTCTATCCTTCTAGTGTCTCCAAAATCATTTCGTAGAGGTGCAGCAGGTACAACGGAAGGCTGGTGGTCTCTTTAAATGAAGGCTGGCATCATTGCCGTGTGGAACAACAATAGCCCAGTGCTAAATCCACATACTGGCCGAATGCATCATTCTTTACATATACGCACGTCTGTTATCATGTTTGTACATGTACAGTTTTCGCCGAAGTGACTGACGACCATAGTTCGCGCACTATTGTTGTTTATTTGGATATTTCGACGCTGTTTGTTGGGGTTTAGCAGAGATGCTAAAGCTTGCAGTTCGTCTGCGACCGTCTTTGTCAGGACCCCGACTAGAAAGAGTCTACTTGATAATACGCCTTAGGAAAATGTTTTATTTTCAGTGTATTGGTTGTTTGTAAACTGTTCGTTTGCTATTATTCATATAGTAATTGTACATATAATAATAGTGATGGTTGTTTGTGAAAAGAATGTACAAATTAGGTATTTGCTAAAAGGTTTGTAATAAGAAATTTTAATTAAATTGATGTTATTAATTTGATTTCAGAAGTAATATTTATAAAAAGCAAATTAAAAACAATTAAGTGGCTTCACAGAGTAAAGTCTTGAATGAGTCGCCTTATTTTTCAGACAGGCGCATTATTAGACACCTAGGCGGAAGTAATAGTTCATGTATACTATGCTATAGTTCTGTTATTCATCTTTCTTTTATATTTAAAGAAAAATGGACCGATTTATGTGGACAAATGGTCTCCTGGAGATGAACGAAACTCTAGTAATTCAACAAAGAGGAGTAAGACTTTACGACGGGGAAGACAAGGTATATTGCTCGTAACATTAACGTTAGTTGGTCATTGTGTATTCAGCTGAAAGTTAGGAAATGACAACCATGTGAAACACCGGGATGAAAATGAGATTTACACTTGAAAACAAATATATTTTAGAACATGTTGCTTTGCTATTGCGTATTAGCTTGTTGCCATGATACTGAAAGACTCGTGTTAAGATGATAAGATTTGTGTTTACTAGATTTCAAGTTTTCTAATTCACTGTTTCCCACTGACAGGCTAAACTTGATGTTGGAGGAGTTGTATTAAGCACCCATCGCCTTCTCTGGAGAGATCAGAATAATCATGTAATGTCCTTTTCATATTATTTTATAATCTCCTTTTAAATAGAATCATAAACAGTATTTACAATTCAATTGTTTATGTCAAACTTTTTTATTCTTCTCTTAAATGAGAGTATGGGGCTTACACTTTTGACATCTCTTGTTGTTTTGCAGGAATGCTGTATTTGCATCCCCTTGTCACAGGTCATATTCTTTGAGGAGCAAGCTGCAGGCATTGGAAAGAGGTGACTGCTATTACTGTTATACCAGCAATATTTCAACCATTAATCAGTTATAAATGTTTGCTGTGAATGTATCAGTGCACTGAAGGACTTTTGCAATTGAGACAGCCCTTAAATTGGCTCTGTCTGACTACTGAACAAGGTACCTGATTGAGATAATAATAATAATATATATTTTTTGTATTGCCCTTTTCTCTACATACATGCAACTCAAAGCGCTTCACAAACAACAAACAAACAAGCATTGTAAAATAAACCCAAATAAAGCAAAAGAAACAACAAAAATATACTCAGAGAAAAACACGCATGTTCACACATATCTACACAATCACACACACACAATAGTCCTTACATATGTATATACATGCACACTGTACATGCATACACCTAGACAATATACATACAGTATATACATAAAATGCATACTCTTTACATACTACTGTTATATCCTTATGCAATTTTATTAGTCACGTTTTTTAAAAAACATGAATGCTTGGGGAATCATTTGGTAGACAGATCCAAATTTTTGGAGCATAGTGACTAAAAGAGGTGCTGGCTGATTTCGTGTGACATTCTAAAAGTCCAGTGCTAGAAGGGCATAGCAAACGGTTTGGATTGTATCTCGATAAGCGATCAGAAATGTAAGAAGGTGTCAGGTTGTGTAGTGCCTTATAAACTAATAGAGATACACCCTTTGATTGTAACAAGCTATTAAGGTTACAGGTAAAGTACAACAGCTGCCGTTTTATCTTTTCACACCGTTCTGGTCATTTCCTCTTTCCTCTAGCATCAACAAAGGATTTTCACCATAATGCTTCTACTTAAAATACATTCTTTTTTCCAAACTTTTCTGTGTAAATCCTAGAAATAGTGGTGCAATAAAATTCCAACAGATCTGCAGTTTCTGATATATTCAAACCAGCCCATATGACACAACATACATGACATGTCCAAAGTATGTTAAATCACTTTTTCTTTCTCATTTTAAAGTTTTTAAAGATCATCTCTTGACCACACATTAGGCATGGGCCGGTATAAGATTCTGACAGTATGATAACCTTAGGTAAAAATATCACTGTGTTGTGATTACTGCTCTAAAGTATAGTCTTTTTAAATCTCTGGGTAAAATTTTGGAACGGTAAACATGTCAGGCTAAATAACACAAATGAATAATTGACTTCTGCTTTCTTCATTAGTTTCAAAACAGTGATTTCATTACAATTTAAAACTGTATGTTTGCATATCTTTTACTTTGAAAATGGTTATCATCCCATGCCTACCACACTGAGATATCTAAATGCTTGAAGTTGCTGCCATGTGATTGGCTGATATAATATTTTCATTAACCTTATGAATCTGTCAGTTAGAGCACACCCTCTTTATTAATCTAAATATAAGTAATATAATATAAATATAATATATATTAATATAAATATTTTTTTTAATACCATTCAGTGCCAAGATTGTCATTCACCTGCATCCAGCCCCTGAAAACAAGGAACCAGGCCCTTACCAGCACAGCAAATACTCTTACATAAAGCTGTCCTTCAAGGAACATGGACAGATTGAGGTCAGTAATTGAAGGAGTGATGTCACAAAAATATTTCAGCTGAGATGATGCATAGATTAATAAAGCTTTCGTGTGCATGGAACTTATTACGCCTCTAAATCTGGCTTAATGCAGTTTACGGCATAAGCAGTAGACTGTCATGGCATTTAGATTGAAACAGAGCTGCTGAGATGTTAGGTGTACAAGTAAAGTAACTTGTGATGTGTTTGATGTAGTTTTACAGACGTTTAACAGAAGAGATGACTCAGAAACGATGGGAAAATACACCCGTCTCACAGCCCATCCCCACTGGAACAGGACCCAAGGTCAGCCTGGACTGAGACTCTGAATGATAAACAAACTGTTAATTTCATTTATTTTTATCATTTTTATTATTATTATTATTATTATTATTAATATGAAAACAATAACTTTAATTAAATATTTTGTTGTTTATGTTTGTGATGATTAGGTATGGATTTCTTTACAAACAATTTTTAAAATAAGTCATTATTTTAGTTCATATTTTGTTTTTTTATTTTATTTTTAATATCATTATTTTAGCAAAAACTCATTTTATTATTAGTATAATAATATTTTGTGCATCATTTTGGATACATTTTTGCTTTTGTTTTACATTTCTGCTTAGCTTAATTAAAAATTAGTTTATATAAATTAATTTGTAGCCCGTTTGTGTTAGTTTATTAACTTATAATTATAATAAATTTTATTATTTAAAAATGATTTGATAGTTTTAGCTTTTATTAAAAAAAAAATCTACATTTTTTATTTTTATAATTGAATGATGTTCTTTAATTTGTCATTCATACTCATGACAGCAGTCATCTACCTAAATAAATAATGTTTCTAAATATAATGAATGTTCACAAGTAACCCACTAATCCTGTTTTGAAGAGTAAAGATGCAGTGTGCATTGCTCCCTCATGGTGGCACTGTAATATTGTAGATTTCATATGTGACAGTGTAATTGATGACAAATCTGTTATTTATATATAATTTCACTTTGACAATATTGGTGTATCATGGGTTGGTTTATGATAAACAACTTGCATGGCTGTTGTTTAAAGATTGTGTGTTGTAAAGAACAGGCCATGAAATAGTAACCCCAGGGCAAACCCTTTCCTTCCTGTTCCTTTGTTAGTTGTTTGCATGTTTTTGAGTTATTGTTTGTGCGTATTTAACAAAGCGTGTTGTGCGTGCCTAACTTTATTTTTTCTCTCTCCTTCTTTCTGTGGTTGTAGGCAGGAAGGACACGTGCAGTGGGGATTGTGGGTATTGAGCGGAAGTTGGAGGAGAAAAGAAAAGAGACAGATAAAAACATATCTGAGGTAAGAAACAGACTGACAGGTAGTCATATCTGACCTACAGAGATAATCAGGAATCAGTAGGCGCCGTGGCCCCCTTTTAAGAGGGCCACCTGATGATGAAAGCAAGCCGAGACCCTGTTTTTAAAACCCGGTGACCTCATAGTTCTGATTAGCTTTCTGGCACAGTTATAATGGAAGATAAAAAGAGAGAGCACAGTGGTGGGATATCCTGAATACACCCAGTCATTTACAGGTGATTTCAGCCCTCGATAAAAGAGGGTTTTAGGGATAATCTCTTTCTTTTTTTTCCAAGTTCTAAATCTTTCTTTTTCTTCTAGGCGTTTGAGGATCTCAGTAAACTAATGGAAAAGGTAGGTCGGTGGGTGAGCTGTGCAGAATTCTGCCATGGTCATGTTATCAGTCTGATTTCAGTGACGCATTATCTTCCCCTACAGGCCAAAGAGATGGTGGAGCTCTCCAGGTCCATTGCCAACAAAATCAAAGACAAACAGGGTGATATTACTGAAGATGAGGTGAGCTTGAAGACTGGGACATGCTTGATGATCTGAAGCATTCATTCTTCACTGAGACAGAAGAGCAAAACTTAAATAATAAGACAATTATTGATCATAAGTTGATACAGTTTTTTTTTTTACATTTAAGGGTTCTGGCATTGAGAATTTTTATCATCATTTTCAGCAAAAAAGAAAAGAAAAAAACTTTTAATGCGTTTTAATAATTAATTTATATGAAAACATGAGAACATGTAATAAAAAATAAAATAAAAATCATTATCGTTTCTTTGTAAACTACAAAAATGCAAATATGTTGAATTTAGCCGCACACGTAACTACAAAAACCACAATAGCACTTGACAGGACGTGTGTGGTTACAGTATTTCTTTTTTCAAAGTGACATCAGCACCTAATGACATGGAATGCTTAATGTAGTATTTATAGTAATTTTCACAGATCTATGTGGAAAGGGATCGTACTTTTTAAAATATCGAATGATTTCAGTGCAACTTTGCCATTTGAAATGTTTACCAAGGCTGCATTTATTTAATCTGAAATATTGTTCAAAATTATTAGAATTGTCTGCACCATTAGCCTAATGGTTAGTGCGTTGTCATGGCGAGTTTAATTCTCAGCTAGAGGTCCTTCGCCAATCCTTTTCCATCCCTGCTCCCCCCAATTTATTGTCTGCAAAATCTCTACTGTCCTGTACAATAAAGGTGAAAACGCCTAAAAAATAGTAATGATAAAAATTTGAATTTATGATGAACATTTTATTATTCAATCAATATATTTTATTATATATCCATATATTTCATTAAATTATATTTCTGTGATATCAAGTACAATTTTTAGAAGACACAATACCATTCTCAAAGTAACATTCCTTGTTATGAACATTGAAAACAATTGAGCTGCTTAATGTTTTGTGATGCGCATTTTAAGATGAACAGAGTTCAGAAGTAATACAAAAAACTTTATCACATTTGATCAGTTTAATGCATCTACATGCATCTGAATAAAAGTTTTAATATCTTACAAAAATGTACTTTATCAAATTCATCAACTTTTTGAACTGTAGTGTTTTAAACATGTGCTTTAAGTCTGTTTCCTCCTCAAAGTCTATTACTGCTTTGATCCTGCTTAAGTTAATAGGCTTTCTCGGATTGCATGTAGATAGCAGCTGTTATATCTATGTGTATAGCTAACATTTTTTATATGGCCTCCATATCCACACATAAGATTTTAAAAGCTTATCTATCATTTCCTTTTCACTAAATAAAACAATGCATTTGGATATGGATTAATATTTTCACTATTGCTTAATAAGATGTCTATAAATCCAAAGCTTGGAAAACATCAGTTGTGTAATCCACATAGAGCTCGGAAGTCCTGCTCACTCCCAACAAACTTTGCACTGGGATGTCAAATGTCCAGGAAACAAAGCGGTGACACAAATAGAATCTGGAATTGAGCTGAAAAGCAGCCAGAATTGAGATGCATCAATCAGAGGACTGATGGTGCATGTTTCTAAAGCGAAGGACTGCATGCGCATACAAATAATTATTGCAGAGAAAATGACCTGCAATTATAGAAGCCCACAATGAAATGAGGAAAAACCTTTTTCACATCTGAAAATGAGAATGTTGAAGTTTACATGCTAAAACTGGATGTTGGATATTCTCATTATTGTTTGTAGACTAAGAGCCAGCCTTGCTCATTTTTTTTGTGAGTGAAGAGCTGCAATTAAATTTGTCATGTTTGTTTTTGTGTGCCATCTGACAGACTATCCGCTTTAAGTCTTATTTGCTGAGTATGGGTATAGCCAACCCAGTGACCCGGGAGACGCATGGCTCTGGCACACAATATCACATCCAGCTCGCCAAACAGCTGGGAGACATGCTGCAGGCCCCACTGGAGGTAATTAAGCCTGTGTGTTGTTTCTACATAAACAGCTTCTACACTGAAAAAAATATTCAGTGGATTTACAAAACATTTTTAGGGGTAAGTGGTTGCAAATAATTTATATGGGCTTAATTTAAACAAATTAAATTTTGTAATGTTTAACTTAATTTGTTTAAATCCTGCCCATATAAATTATTTGCAGCCACTACCCTTACATTTTTTTGTAAATCCAATGAATCTTTTTTTGTGATGTGTATTTAGATTAATATACATACAGTTCTGTATGGTTTCATATGCAAAATCACTAAACATGGAAATTATAATGGAATCCAGTCATAAAATTGACTTAACTGTATAAGACATTTCATTAAATTTGACACATTTTGGATGAATAAATAGAATATATTTTTGTATATGTATGCTTAATCAGCATTAGTATATGTGAGCATTTACCCCTAAAAATATTTTTAAATAAATAAAATGAAAAAAGTAAAAATATTAAACGTACTTTAATCTTGTACCCAAGATATATGAAATATGATTGAATCATTTTATTGGGGTAAAAAGAAAGTCCAGAAATAATAAAATAAATAAAGAAAATGGCATCTATTTTAATGTGAATCCCTAATTAATTTCTTGTTTGGAATAAAATAATTTTTTTTATTTTTACTCATTATTTTTTTTATACTTTTATTCAGAATACATAAAATTTATAAGACTTTTTTTTTACTTTCTATTTATCAAATATAAACAATGTTATAGATTAAATGTTTAATAATCAGCTTTACTATCACATGAATAAATTACATATTAATAAATATAATAAATGTAAAATATGACAATATAAATAATGTTTCACAATAGTATGGTTTTATTTATTTGTTAGCTTTTTTTTTTTTTTTTTTTTTTACATTGCATACATTTACATATTACTGCCCCCAAATTACTGAAAATTGTATATTTACACAAAAACCTTTTGTACATATAGTATAATAATTTTTGTTTAAATAAGCATTTCATATCAGTTTTTTTAAACGACACCTATGATAAAAAAACATCTTTTGGAAGCTGTTTGGACAGAACTTTGTGCAGGTATAGCGTGTTCACAGTCACAGTGGAGTGACAGAAAGACAATAAGATTTTTTTTCAATTTCCTGATATTTAAAAAATAGAATCCAAATGTGTGTGTGCAAACTTTAGTACAGCATTGTGTGTGACTCATTGTTGCAGAAAGGCTTGAATAACTCCACAACAAATATATCAAATAACCACTGGGAAAGTTCTTACTGTAGTACAGGAGATCTGCTTCCTTCTTGTTTGTCACTGCTGTTTTTCTATAAGAATGGATGCGCATAAACTATGATGGAAACACTTTTACTACACAAATTTCAGTATGCGCATTACAAAAGGTCATGTGATTTTGTGATTAGAGATCATGTCATGATGATGTGTAAATGGACAAACCAGCAGGCTGAGCACACTGTAAACCATCTGAACTGTTGTTTTGGTCATTCTAAAGTGCCTAACCATTTTAAGTATTAGTGTTATTATATTATTAATGACCTCTAGAATCAAGAGTGTCTGTGCTCCATGTCTGACACCTTCAAACGCCACCGCACATTCATTGCGTGTCAGGATTGCCTTCTGAGGAGCAAGTCATTTATTAGAGGAAGAAAAGATTGACGCAGCTTCTCCTACTGCAGCAAATTCAGTTTTTGCTGTTGTTATTTGGCACCAGTTAATCAGGAAGTGACGATTTATGTTTGCTTTGACTCGTTGAAGCTGCTTTATTCGCACGTCTTTTATGCGATGATCCAGTTTTGCACAAAAATTATTCGCATACATATATAGCTACAATGTCATAACAGCTCAAATTTTCCAAATCCTGGAAGATATAATAAATAATCTCATTTGTATTTTGAGCTAAAACTTTACAGACACATTCTGGAGACACAAAATACTTATCTTAAATCTTGAAAAAGGGGTAAAATAGGAGCACTTAAAATATATATATATATTTGGTGAGTTGCATAGCATACATGTTTCTTGACATTTACATCTTACTGCCCCCAAATTATCTCCCAGAAATGGATTGCGGATGGAAGAACATCTTCTGCGTGAAACATATGCTAGATAAGTTGGCGGTTCATTCCGATGTGGCGACCCCAGATTAATAAAGAGACTAAGCCGAAAAGAAAATGAATGAATGAATGAATGCCCCCAAGTTATTAAATAGTGTATATCTATATACACTAAACATTTAACCATTTATTGTACATATAGTATAATAACTTCAGTTTAAATGAGCATTTCGTATCAGGTTTCAACTCTGGACTGAATGCAGTTTCAATTTACTAGATCTTCTATGTTAAGCTGCTTTGACACAGTCTATATTGTTAAAGCGCTCTAGAAATAAAGATTAATTGAAATGATAATTAAAAAAATTATTTATTTGGTGACTTGAAATAACATGCAGTCAATTCATCATCATCTCAAAATATTCCTCTTGTTTGTGTTCATTTCTCAATACTGAATGTTTGGCTGTACATTTTGTCCTACAGTATCTCATTATATGGATATTGACCTTCCTTCCTCCGCTTCTCTTGTATTATTCTGTGTGTCTCTGTAGGAGCGTGGAGGAATGATGGCCCTGACTGAAGTTTACTGTCTGGTGAACAGAGCCCGAGGGATGGAGGTTAGATGAAACTCCGTACACTCAGCAGCATCAGTGCATCTTATCATAGAGCCAATTAGATCTGATCCTGATCTCCTTCCCGGTGGCATTAAGAGTGAAGCTGGTGATGGTACAGCCATCTGGAGTGTAGAGAGCAAAACCTAACATCAAATCTCAGCCTGATGGCGTTCCTTTAGCTTGTGTGTAAATGATGTTGTCATTGCATTCTCAAAATTTTACTTTCATTTTGGAAGTATACTGGCTTTATTATCAAGTAAAATAACTCATCAATTAAATTAAAAGTTTTAAATTAGGGCTGCACATTATATCGTTTCACCATTGATATTGCACTGCAAAAGTCCCATCACAAGATATGCAAAGTTGTGTCTGAATTATAGTTGACCAGGAGCTACAGAATTGTATTTAATAACTGTATTTGTACAATTTATAATATAAAGTGTGTGTGTGTGTGTGTGTGTGTGTGTGTGTGTGTGTGTGTGTGTGTGTGTGTGTGTGTGTGTGTGTGTGTGTGTGTGTGTGTGTGTGTGTGTGTGTGCGTGTGTGTGTGTATATATATATATATATATATATATATATACAGCTTAAAGTGACATTTAAAGGCTTAACTAGGTTAATTAGGTGAACAATGCAGGTTAGGTTAATTAGGCAAGTTATTGTAAAACGATGGTTTGTTCTGTAGACTATCGAAAAAAATATATAGCTTAAAGGGGTTAATAATTTTGTCCCAAAAATGTTTTTTTTAAAATTAATAACTGTTTTTATTCTAGCCAAAGTAAAACAAATAAGACTTTTTCCAGAAGAAAAAAATATTATCAGACATACTGTGAAAATGTCCTTGCTCTGTTAAAAATCATTTGGGAAATATATATATAAAAAAAAGTTTTAAAAAAAATCAAAAGGGGGCTAATAATTCTGACTTATATATTGTTTCTGAATATATATATATTCTTACTTGGAATGTTTAATATTTATATTTCAAAGCAAAAACAAGATTTTTACAAACCCCACTGGCATATAATTGTACTTGTTTTAAGGAAAAACTCTTAATTTTGACTTTAAAGTTGAATTAAAACTTCCTTTTTTTTTTTTACATATTCAGACTAGAAATGAGACAAAGTAAGAAAAGTCTTTTTGGAATTGTGATAACTCAATTTCTGTACCTGAAAACTGTACCAGATGCACCGCAGCACGGTACACGAGACGCACATATTCATGTGTTATTTAAAATACAACTATTCAGATGGCGCTCCGTGGCATGGCAGAAATATGAACACTGTCCTGAGTCATAGCTGGGCACCATGGACAGCCACTGACTTGCTTTGCCAATATGCGTATCCTGATAGAAACCTATGTTTACAATTCTAAAATGCATGGCACTGCTTGGTGCGGTGCGTTTGCCGAGCAGCACATCTGGTGTGTGCCCCCCTTTAGACTTCCCAGAAAACAGTCAAATAGTGCTACTCAAAATATATGAAATAAACTGTAGTATCGCAATATTTATTGCAGAAAAACTAAATATCACGATATGCGTTTTTTTCAACATCGTGCAGCCCTGTTTTAAGTAATAACTGTTTTATAAACCAGTTTATTAAGTTGAGTCATATGCTGAGATCACACTAAAACAAGAAATACCACAAAACCTCAAATACAAATACAAATTTTATTTATGAATTAGTAATGCTGAAAATTTCACTAATAGAGATGTTTTTTCTTTCTTAATTTAAAATGTTATAATATGTAATATGTCTTATATCCAGTATGCATATTCATGAAGATATACACTGTAAAAATGCTGGCTTCCACACAGTTCATTCATTGTTCCAACGCAAATTGATTGAGTTAACTTAATTTTTTTTTTTTTGTTTATTAACACTTTGGTGCTGTTAGGAAGGCATTGTATTAGTAAGGAAAGCAAGTATTTTACTAAAGTGAAACTTTCGTTTTAGTGTAGTATTGTTTTTATTTAGTATTTTGTGTCTTTATTGAATTTTCTATTCGTGCACTTTAGTTAAAATTAAATTTTAACCACTTTTTTGACCATAGACTTAAATTACATTTCCAGTGTGTAAGCTGTCTTAAATTTAGAGCACAGATTTTTTTGTTGGACTCTTGTACTTTAGTATTTTTTCTCAAATTAAAACAAAAACTAAATGTTTTTTTTCTTTTTTTTTTTAAGTTGTTGCTTGGCAGATTATTGCTCAAGTAGAAAAATTTTGTTGTTTTTTTTCTTAATGTGAAATAATATTGTGTAGAAGTTAAAATTTTGAATAAAAAAAATCAGACATAAATCTAAACACATTTGTTTTTAATATCACTAAAAATAACTTTTTTTTCCATTGCCTTGTTCATTTTTGACTAGATACAGAAGCCAAAAGTAGCCACACAACACTAGAAACTTAATAAATAATGGTAAGAAAAACTTTCCAAATGGATCCTTTCATGACGTATAACCTGTCTCTCAAATGTCTCCTCAGCTTCTCTCTCCAGAGGACCTGGTCAATGCCTGCAAGATATTTGAGTCACTGAAGCTTCCCTTACGGTATGGCTATGAGCAGGGTTTGAAATGAACACCCGCCAACCTGCCAAATGCAGGCAAAAAATAGACTGGTGGATATTGCGAATTAACACACTAGCCAATTTGGCGTGTTTAACTTTGCATATAATCTCTGTATGAGCTCAAAGGCAGTCTCAAACATTTGCAAATCAAAACATAAAGTGGGTCGCACAATGTGTTTTATCCCAATACATGTTTAAAATCAAACATAATATAGCATAAAAGTACGTCTGTAAAAAAGAATGTATTTCTCTATCACTTTTCTGCAGTTTTTTGTTTTGTTTTTGAAACTCCTATTTAAGCTTTTTGACTTCGATTTAAACTTATAAATTATTTTTAAATGCACTTTTCTCAGTATGATGTTCAGATTGATTGTTTTTGGACTTTTATTATACTTATAGCTTTTATTTTACAAGAAAAAGAAGCATGTTGATATTAAAAATCTCTTTTCTTAGAGCGTCCTGGACAGGATAACAGGACACAGATCCCATAATATCATCATTCATCTATCAATACACGCATAAAATGACAACTTGTCAGAACATCTACAGATCAGTATTTTGCATTAAGAATTATTTTTAAAAAACAATTAATTCATTTATTCAAAATAAAATTATGAGAAATCACAAGAGAATTGTTTATCTGTTAACAATAATGCACTGTAGTGTGTGTGTGTATATATATATATATATATATATTTATATATATATATATATTTATATATATATAAATATGATACAGTAATTTTGAATCAGATTTAAAAAATAAATACTTAAATCCAGACAGTGACTTTAGTAATTTGGAAATTTGTAATATTTTTGTTTTGGCTAATGAAGTTCTGAACAGCTAATAACTTAGAAAATTTGCAGCCAAATTGGCCTTATTTAACTGAAAAAGTTCATTTCAACACCCTATTTTTGAGCATAGTTGTATGTGCATGTTTTGAGTGAACAAAACTGTGCAAGTCAGGCCGGTCAGCATGGAATCGGTCAGCCACTTCCTGGCAGGCTTCCTGTTTTGACGACCCATGTCCGCCCTCAGTCTGTTGGCTGCATTTTCCACCTTTCAAAAGAAAACAACCATTCGACTCGAACCACAATTAAGTTGCATGCTATTAGATTACGAAGCAGTAAAGTCTTGTTGGGTTCTTATGTAACCAGTAACATAAAAATTCTTCTTTCCTTGTCAGTTTGCGAGTGTTTGACAGCGGGGTGATGGTGGTTCAGCTTCAGTCCCACAGCGAAGAGGAAATGATCGCCTCGGCTCTAGATAACGTGAGTTTCGTGCCATCATATTCTCCCATCTGTGAAATCACTTACTGTATGTGGCCATTCAAACATCATGCACCAACTTCCTGTCATGTTTAATAACCGGTTAGTAGAGTGGAAATTGGATCAAATCTGTAACCACAAGCTTGTATAGCCAATTTATTCCTCTCTGTTTAATGGTTGTGGTCAGGAGAGTGAGAGAAGGTTCCAGTTTTATTTTTTGCTTGAGATTGCATGAAATGAACCACCTTCAAAGTGTTTTTGAACAAGACGTGGCTAGCAGATGTGACTGGCGCTGATGTTTTAGGTCAAAGAGCTGGAATGAGAGGCGTGTCAGATTAGAAATTTCCATCCCTGACCCTGAAGAGTACAAGACACATGTGGTAAAAAAACATCCAAGCAAGCATCTCTGAGGACCATTTAAGATGAAATGCCAATTACTGCTGTACTCAAAGTGATTCAGTTATTAGATTTGATGTATAGGTGAATCTCACGAGGCCCGTCAGGATAATATCTGGGTTCTGTTTCCCTGTAAAGTAAGAATAATAAATTAGATTTTTCTATTAATAAAATCTAATAAAAATATGAAGATATATTAAATAATTGTGTGTTTATTTTTTACTAAAGGCATATAAAAAGAATAATCATTTGTAACAAAAAAATCTATATTTTTCCTCTTAAAAATGAATTGCTTATAAGCTAAAGATAATTTTACACTTCAGATTCCTAAACTGTTATTAAAATGTATAGTCATTGTTTTTAATAACTGCTCTGCATTGCATTAAATCAACCAACTTCTGGCACCTAGAAACAGGTATTTGAGCACAGATTTTGCTTCAGAAGCTACATTTTTAAACTCACCTTTTGGCACCTAAAAACAGGTATTTCAACCCAGATTTTGCGTTAGAAGCTGCATTTTTAAATTAACCTTCTGGCACATAGAAACAGGTGATTCTGCCTAGATTTTGCTTTAGAAACTGCATTGTTTTAATGCCACCCCACAAGTTTTCAATTGGGTTGAGATCAGGGGGTTAAGCTGGCCACTCCATTACTTAAGTCCT